CTACAGCTGATGCTATATCAAAGGTGAGTGGTGAGCAGCAATCTCAAAGCTTCAATAACACATTCATGCCACATGGAAGACCTCTGAGTGCTGGTTCATATGTGAGGTTGCCTCGCCTGGCAGGAGTCCTGGAGGCTGGTTTGTTGAATTTCTACCATGGCAACCTATCTCAAGAGATTGTAGATGAGGTGACTGATATTCATATACAAAATGGCATGACTTTGTGAGTCAAATATGACAGGTTTTTTAGTCCGGCATTGCCTTTCACTACAAAGGCACAAGCAAATGGAGGCGTACTGAGCAGAGAAGACATTGGTAACTACAGCGTGGATGTAGAAATACCCATTGAAGCCCAGTACAATGATAAAGGTGACATTTTACACACCAGACTTGATAAAATTATCTTTATTTTCTTCATGTCTTCATCTGCAGTTTGTTATTCTTGCCTTAGAGTTTATAATTCAAGTTCCTCCTCCTCCATCTGCTGGTGCAGTGTTGCTATCAGCTCTCAACTTGTTAGAGGGACTCCATATCAGCAAGAGCAACGTAACAGAAACTCAAACACGCCTCTGGATCGCCGAGGTACTGGGGTGTGAATACCTCCGATATCTTTGTATATTATGACCTGTTGTAAATGGCAGTTCTCTTACATAGGCGTGCTTTGTTTGCTATCCATGAAGGCCCTGAAAACAGCTTTAGCTATGGCCAGTGGTTTGGGTGACCCTAATTATAACTCTTCGGTGACTGAGGCGCTCTCTAACATGCTGAGGTAAAACATGTTGCAGGATCATAATCACTGTTAGGGTTACAGCTAATGACTGTTTTCAGTAGTGGGTGTTTACAGTGTTTTGGTGAATGGGGAGTTAATAAAATATAAGAAAGCAGGAAAAAAAATCCCACCATACCCAGAAACAACAGAGGTTTTGTCCCAGTAGAGAAAGTACAGGTATATTAAGGGTCGAAGCATTACACTGGAGGTCTGAGTCACTAAAATGTTATACTTGAACACACCTCCAAATGCACTCTTATCCAACTTGGATATTACTTTACAAGAAAAAGTGTCAATCCTCACATGAAGAGTAGTTTTCCTTTTTTGTTGATAAAAGATTCTGAGAGATTGAGTCACTTTCATATGTCCTTGTTTTCTAAAGAAAAACAAATCTATTCAAAAAAACAAATTAAAAAATTGTCACAAACTATTAGGCTCTAATTCCACTCATCTTTGTTTAACTGTAAAAACACTTAGTTTATACTACTATCATTCTTTTGTGTCATAAAATCCAAAATCAACTACAAATTGATTTTTTTCCTCTGTTCCTGCCACAGCAAGAGTCAGGCTGAAGTCTTCGGGCAGCAGCTGAATTACTCCCACACATCTCCATCTGAGTACCTCTCCCCTATCCACTCCACCCAAACAGAACTGGTGGCTGGACAGGTCACTGTCATGGGACAAGATAAGCTCATTGTGTCTGTTGCAAGGTGATTGGGTTACAGCCTACAGTGTGACTCTGACGATCAAACCAAGATATGTATGGTATGCGCTTCTTGGAAATGTTACATGGTTTTGTTTTTTTCCCCCCTCTGCTTTTATCTTCATCCTCCTGCAGTTCCTTGAGCAGACCATTTGGGAGCAGACTCGTAACTCGATCAGGCATCGTTCTTAACAGCCTCATCCTTGATTTTTCCTGGCCAAATACAAGCAGAGAACAACTCCAAATTAATCAGGTGCAACACCATCAAAAAATCTCAGGCTGTGAAATCAGTCAGGTATGAGGCACAGTTTTAGATATTACAATCGACTGTTACTCGCTTACAGGAAAACTGTGTCGAGCCAGGAAAGCGGCCCCTGTCGCTTCTCATGCCCATTATAGTGGTGCCGGCTTTGCATAAATGTGGGATCCACGTGGCAGTAAGCACCTCTGGTGAACAAAATGCCCTGAGTGTGATCACCCAGGTTTGATCTCCTTACATTATGAAGAAAGTTGGCTTCACATTCAGTTTTATAAAAATATTTGACAATAACACTGTTTCTATGCTTCAGATGCTGGTCAACCTCTTATTCTTCCATACAGAGAAAAATGACAGCTTTTCCCTGACAGGGCTCCATCACCAGTTTGAACCAAATAAACTTCTTGTTCACTGTGAGTATCACTTTGCCTTCTGCAGTTGACCTTTTGCCTTTTTAACTAATACAATATATATATATATAATTATAATAGTAACTTCCTGCTTTCTAATTTCCCTCCCCATCAGCTCATTTTCAAGGAGACAGTGGGCAGAGTTTCCATGCAAAGGCCCATGCAGTTCAAAGAGTGAGGACAGAGGAGTCTTATTAAGCCGCGGAGTGCCTCAGTTGACTGGTGGTTTAATACAGTGTTGTTTTTCTCCTCAACTTTATTCTTGAAATAAATATTCTCACAAGCATAGA